GAAATTTGTTTGAAAGGGGAACCAGTTTAATAGTGGTAACTTGAAGTTATGCTCGGCCTAAACTTACACAAAAATGGACGGCTAAATTTACTGGATTGGTTCTGTTTTGTTAAATACTGAAACGAATGGCAGACGGAAGTGTTGTGTGGCAGGTATTAGTGGTTTGGAAATGTGTGGCACAACGTACTGGTAGATGCATTCTAAATCCTTGTGATTCTAAATCCCCTCGCCAAATAAAGCAAATTTAAAATATTCTTGGAGAGCTGTTCTGAAGGTTGTCTGGTCTTGATGACCATGTAATTCAAGAAATGGTGTCACTGTTTGCATTTTTCTGTGCGCACTGGACCCTTTCACATGCATCTTGGAGTAAAGAATCTGCCAAGTCATGTTTGCTTTTTAAAACACGAAATTCCAAACCAGACTCATTAACAGCACATCCCGGCCGGCTTGAAATTGTCTTACGTGTGTGGAAAGTCTATCAGGTTAAGTCGAAATGTGGGGAGCTTGTCCAACCAATGTGAGTACAAGGTCAAGCTACGATCCCCTCGCAGGCATAAATGCGTATTCAGCCGCGTATGAAATTGATCGAGTTATATGATTGGCAGAGCAGTGTAGCCCATTCACCTGTCAGTGCCAGCCCCCCCCCCCCCCCCCCCCCCCCCCCCCCCCCCCCCCAGGCCATGTTTCATCCCAAAGACTGTCCTCATCAATTGGGGGGAAAAAAAACTAATTTTCAAAAAGCCAACAGCCTTGATTAGATAAATTTGAAATGATGAAGTGAGGACAACAACAAATGCTATATATACATGTACATATTGCTTTGCCCTGTGATGTGATTAACAAGATACAGAAAATTATTTTAACAATTTTGGGAACCCTCTCGTGCCTGACATCAAAATTACGGCAGTAGCGTAATTCATTCTTGGTCAAGGTCGGTCACAGCAGTTTTCATTTTATTAAAGACAAGGCAATTGTGGACTTGGTATGGTACATGTACATGTATCATGATTTTGCAGCTGCGAAAGTTTAAATAAATATCGCAGACGTGCACATCCTGTATTTTCCATTTTCCTTTTTTCTTTATATTTTTTTTTTACCCTAACTAGAGGCATTGTTGCTAGGATGCAACCCCAATCCTGCAAAATCCTTCAACTGCCTCCGTGTAAAAATTGCATAACGCCTCAATCCTGCAAAATCATCCGTTATTTCTTGAATGTGTTCCTTGGAGGGGTGAACGCTGCCTCCATCCTTCAAAATCCTCCAGCAATCACTGTCAACACTTGGAGCAGTGTGCAGGATTTCAAGTATAATCTAGGCCTAAATTTATGCACGGCCGAGTACAAACAACAAGGTCCAGCTTAAGACCCTGACAGAGTGCATCCTTCAAAATCAGCCACCCATTTTTGTCAAGTAGCCTCAACCCTGCAGAATCCTCCACTTATGCAAGGAAGAATTTGGAGGTTTTGGGAAGGTTAGGGTCCGAGGATGTTAACCCTCACCCCCTAGTCATTCCTCCGGACTACCCTGCTAAATCCAGCAGAGTCCAACCGGAGTTTCCTGCTCAATCCACTGTGCCTTATTTTCAGTTGTGTGCTGAATCCAACGGCGTCCAACTTGGCGTTATAAATTAATGCAGTTCAGTTGCCTGCTGAATCTAACATTTTGCATCAGGAATGTACACAAGGGGTTTACTGCTCAATCCAACAGGCTCCATCAGGTGTATGACATACATGTAGTTGGATCCTGTTGGATTCAGAAGGGTTAGTATATACTTGCGCCAATGCAGTTTTCCAAACATTGTCTGCATCTCCCTCATCAGCTCTCTTTCCCCTCCTTGCTGCTGTCCCTATCGCCAGGGTGCATGGACTTCAGCAAGTCATGTGCGAAACGGTCAGTAAGAGCCTGCCTCTACGGTCTACTGACCAATCAGACACAGAGATGGGGCAGGTGGTTTGGACACAGGATATTAGATTGTATTTGTTGTACGGAATATCTTATTCCTCTGCAGCTCCTGCTTGCCATATGTACATTAACCTTTTTAGAGATATACGGCAGATACAATGGGAGGTCGCTAATTTTGTGGATTAATTTGAGACAAATACAAAAGAGTTTACCCAACACCAAAGAGCGCCCTCTATTGTTTTCACCAAACTACACAAATGCTAATGTGGGTTAACAAGTCACTTTGAGTGAATTCGCAGACGGCATCTGAAATTTCAGTTGCAATTTTTTTTTTTTTTTGTCTGACTCATTTGAAGTTTGTTTGAGACAAACCATCTTCAGTCATGTAAAAAAAAAATAAGGGTACTGGAATGTGAGCCTAGAATGCTATAACATGTACTTGACCTACATGCTAGCCAGAGTTGCCAGTCTTAATGTACAAGCCGTGAATGTTATTAGCCTTTCAAGAGCAGAGGGTAATTATGCTTTGCTCGTGGACAGACTGTCGGTCACTTAAAATTTTCGTTACAGTGGAAAAACAAAGGATTCATTTTGAAATGAATATTATGATCCCCATAAACAGTAAGCGTGTAGCCCTCAAATTCATTGAACATAACAACTGAATTAAGGGTTTTTTGCCTATAAAATTTACCGATAAATTTTGTACGTACCGGTATGTACATGTTTGTACATCAGTATGTAAGCTTGAAATATCAAACAGAAAGGCCTAACACACTCCACCCCCCTTTTTTTTTTATACTTTTGACACATGCATCTTGTGAATAACTCAATTTACGAATTTATGAAAGCATCAACAGAAAGTAAAGATATGATCTTAAGAAAAAAACACAGATGAAAGACCTGTTCATTGCACGCATTTTTCGTATTTTGTCCAAACCCTGTCATTTGGTTGGAAAAAAAGGAATGGGCTCATTTATCAATGGAAAGTACACATGGTACGCGGGTATGCACAGTCTTGTATGTTTATGATAATTGCTCGTAATTGATGGACACAACACGGAGGTTTGATTCTTCTCAGGATAATAATTGAACAAAGGCGCCTAGAAAGATGCTGAATGTCATTTCATTAATGTTGTAGGTGTCGCCAGACTGCACTTTCGGTTATTTTTATATGTTCCTCATGTATTGTGTGTAATGCAGAAATGCTAAAAACTAATTAGAGCCTACATGTACTGGTATATGTTGGTCGTATGAAAATACATCATGTTGTGGGCAAATGCTTTCGTAACAATCATGGTCGTTTTTTTTACTTTCTCTTCAAGTCTAAATCCAACCTGCTTTTTGCTTTTGTGGAGGGTTCAGTTCTCATAAGAAGGAGAGAAAAAAAATATCGTTGGGAAAAACCTTGCGTTGCCATGGCAACTAATCCCTCCCAAAGGGGACATGTTGGTTCACTGACCAAGGGATACCCTTTGCCTGAATGATTAGATACAGTGTAGTAAAAAAAAAAAAACCAGTGTAGCCATCGAGGTGAACGAAACACTAGCCTGCTCATGCACATGTAATATGATAGTGCATGCGCCAACAGGCTCAGGGTGAGTGCCTTGCGTTGACCCTTCACCTTTGACCTGAGGGGTCGGGCGGCGATGATGATGAGCAGGCGGATGTCTTAGGCTGCCATGGGCTGCCTATTGATTTGATATGACGAAACGAGGGTTTAGAGAATGCATATATTAAGGATCTGAAGATCTTTGATTTTCAGCATGTTCTTTGTGTCGACACGTCCGAAGTATTTTGTTGTCTCTCAAATGATTTTTTTTTTTGGAGGATGTTAATAACGTGTGTTTGGCAAAAATTATGTAATTACACACGTATACTGTAAGTTTATCTGGTGAATACACAAAGGCACATCGGCAACAAAAGCTGCTTCATGCTCATGTTGTGCAGAAATGAATCAAAGCATTACGTGAATCTTCAGCAATACAAAAGGTTTTTTTCGAAGTGAAATGAATCAGAAAGCAAGGACGTTCACCCCAAGATGGTTGTGTGCATTCCTGCTGGGATTTATGGGGGAAAACTGGGACACAGTTTTTTGTGTGAAATGGATCCGTATGAACTACTTATTTCTTCTTGACGCAGTGTACATTTAGTGTTCGCATGTACATGTACATGTGTACGAGCAACACAGTGTATACAATGTATACAAGCAACATACATGTACGTACATGTACATAGACATCAGTGCAAAGTCTCAGAAAATGTCAAATTATTTGTGGCTTTGTTTTACATATTTCAATGGCTTTAGCATAAAGCCATTGTTACATCATTTGTCACCGTTACGTGTGTCGGACAATCAGTGAACATGCGCACTTTTTCCCACTTAATAATTTGAAGTGGAGGGTGCAGAAAATATTATTCTTTTGTTGGGCGGAAAAAAACTTGAAAATGCTGGAGTATTTCATATTTATAATGCCGGCAAAAAAAACCCCCGGAGGACATGGGGATTAACCCTAACCCACCTCACTCCTCCAAAATCCTCCTGGCAGTTTTGGAGGATTCTAGAGGATTGAGGATGAATGGTGATTGAATCAAATGAGGATGCTGGAGGATTGAGGATGAATGGTGATTGAAGCCCATGAGGATTTTGGAGGATTGAGGATGAATGGTGAATGAAGCACAAGATGATTTTGGAGGATTGAGGATGAATGCATTTTGAGGCAGGACTGTCTGATGATTTTGAAGGATTTGGCGTTGGTTATCCTTCATTTAAACACGAGTGCAAAGTTTTGGGATGAGGAAGATTTTGGAGGATTGAGGATGAATGGATTTTGAGGCAGGACTGTCTGACAATTTTGAAAAATTTAGGCAGAGTTGAAAAATTTTGGAGGATTTTGGAGGATTGAGGATGGATGTAAGCAACAAGGGCCTAGGGGGTTAGGGTTAAGTGTTCATCCGTATATTTTATTTCTAAACATTGTGTCAATTTAGATCTCCACTGTGTACATGTAGGTATCAATTTGAGCTGGTCGTTTTTTGAAAAAGACAAATATATGTACTTGAAGTGGTGTGCTAAGTGTTGTGTATTTTTGTTGTTGCAGTGACGGTGGGCCCATGATGGGGAGACATCAGAAGCAGCAGCAAAGACGGAGGCAATACCGAGCCATGAAGACCAACGTCAGGCAGAATGGACGGGTTACATCATTCCCACCCTTCCCTGTAAGATAAGCCACTCCCCCATCCTTACATTCATGTACCATACTTCAACCCCCCCCCCCCCCCCATCGGACCCCCGAATACATACCCCCCCTTCAATTAACAAACATGTGACTAGGGATGTATGCGTGCTTGCATTTGTTTAAAAGATCCATCTATTGAAATTTTGGTACAACATGTAGCCTTGGCCAAAAAAAAAAGGTTGTGTACCTTTCAAGAAGGTTGTCAACCTTTCCGCTACTCTGCAGCTAGTCAGAAGAAAAGCAAACAGGTTTTCTGTTAACTTACTTACTCTTCTAGCATTGTATCTGAAGATCTCTCTCTTAACGCACAGTCTTTAAATTTTTTAGCCGGAAGGCTGTTCAAGGTTTATATGCACCTAATTTTTTAATCTTAAGTTTCCACTATCAAGGTTGACAACCTTTCTGTGACCATGCAGCGCGCCAGATGAAAACAAACAGGTTTTCAGTTAAAATAACTGTCTTGGCGTTGTACATGAAGGTCTTGTTTTACTGGATTTTTTTTTCTTTTTTTTTTGTCATTTTTTTTTTTTGATAGCCAGAAGTCTATTCAAGTGCCTTTCACGTCGAATTTTGAATCCAAGTTTCGTACATCCACTTCTTAACCACATTAATACCTTAAATAAATCTGAAAAATTCCGATACCTTGTTTCCGTCTTTCCCAATCATGGCCCAAACCCTGCCCCGTGTGTTTAACACCCTAGTACACACAGTGCTGATTTAGAATTGACCAAGAAACATAGTGCTCACGCGAGAAAGCCTCTGCAACCCATGGTACATGTAAGGTGAATACTAAGGAGCGCTTTGTTTTCCCCGTGCTCTTGATAGATAACTCAGCGTCCACCCAAGGATGTCCAGCCCATGGAGCCGGCAGAGTTCGCACGTATTCTGACCGAGAAACTGGAGAGGGTCCTAAGACAACGAGAGACGGAGGAACGACTCTCGGCGAGGTTACGAAAAGTGGAGGTAAGGAAGAGAAATCAACAACGGTCTCCCCAAGCATAGCCGAGTGTGGTGCTCTCACTACAACTGACTGGAAAAATTGGGAATTTCCCACATGCTGAATAAGAGTGCGCCTCTCTGGAAAACCACTGTGCGTGTATGCGCTGCACTGGCAATGAGCAGTGTTAGCCGGAGCTGAAATGTGTTCAGCTTTGTGGATTCGTAGTGCGAATATTTGTTGTGGCATCATAAGTTCACATTTGTGTTCGCTTTCTTGAGTATGAATCGGCCCTAATGCTTTAAAATGAGCAGTACCGCAAATTGCGAGTTGTACATTGCAAGTCTACTATGACGTGTACGTTTCCATCATTGTTCTGTACTTTCAACAACAAACACAAAAGACAGAAGATGTATTTTCAATGATTTCCAAGAGATCAGTATATTTTTTTTACGAAGTTGCTCAGACAGAGACTAAAACTTTCAATGAGCAATACATTGTCTGCACATCAGAGGTAAAAACTGTTCAACACAAATTTGTAGATTAAATTAATTAGCGTGTCTTTTTGTTTTTAAGGAAGAGGAATCGGACCCAGATAGGACAGCCAGTGCATCTGATGCGCCCAGGTTATCGGCGGCCATGTTTGAGAAAGGAGCGTTACCCGAAGACGACCCCAACAGCATTCTAGATGACCACTTCTCCCGCGTGTTCGTGGACTCGGCGAGGCACACGCCGGGGGAGTACTCCCCTCGGTCGCGATCGCCCGAGCGCGTCCACCGGGCTAAGGTAGCTAATCCGCTGAGCGGGTCCATGGTCCAACCGGGAATAAACCCCAAGCAGATGATTCCTCATCATCAGCTGCAACAGCACAACAAACTCATCATGCAGCGACAGCGGGCGAAGGACGCTTACACGCCGGGTTACAACGTGGACCCCGAGATGTCCCTTGCTCAGTACAAACACTTGATGCATCACAAGGCCAAGCAGATCGAATTTGATGCCGGAGCGCAGAGAACATTGACGGCCGAAACGGGCGACTCAATATACCACAAACTCCGAGCCAGAGGAGACAGTATAACCATGGACCTAATAACGGACTCCTCACGGCATGTGAAAACCAAAAAGTCCAGTAAAAAGTCTGATATTTCTTCCATCTCCAAGACGACGGACAGTGGGATATACGAGGGTCCTCCTTCGCTGCCATCGGACAACGAAAGGTATAAACCTTGTCTTGCTCATGTACTAACCTCAGGTTTTGTTTTTCTCAAAGGTAGAAAGTTGAGTGCAATACAGGGTGAGTAAAAAAAAATGAAACTCAAATGTCGGGACTATTGTTTTAGCGAAGTTCCGCATGTAGCACTTTCAAAATCTAGGATATGAAAGCCCCATCATAAGCTTTCTTTTAGTACAAGAATCATTTCAATCGCTCATGTAATTTTCAAGTGTCCACGGATCACAAAAAGGTAAGTGTTCTTTCAGCAAAACAAAAACAAGTCGCATAGGGATGTGTGTGAATTGTTTCATTTTGCTGAAAGAAAGCACACCTTTTTTGAGATCCGTGGACAGAACTTTAAAACGGTGGTTGTGTTTAAAAGTCCGTATCTTGAAAAGTACACAAGTGATTTGAATGATTCTTGTAATAAAAGAAAGCTTAGGAATTGGGCTTTCATATCCTAGATTTTGAAAGTGCTACATGCAAAACCTCTTTCAAACATTGGTCCGTCCATTTGGGTTTCAATTTTTTTACTTGCCCTGTATAGGTTGATAAAGGAATTTTCAAATTTCAGGCTGGAGTCCAACATCTACATGTAATGCCAGTCATTGCATATTTTTGGTTGGTTATGGTGGTTGGGCTTTAAATTGTTCTTATGTTCATACACCTTTCAACCTTTATTGATGCCTCGCGGGGTAGGTAAGTTAGTCCATCAGCGAGAATGAATCAAAGATTAATGATCGGTCTTGCACTTGCAGGAAGCAACACATCGAGCAGTGGATTGAGGAAGGGGAGAGGTACAGCAAGCAAGTCATCGGCAAGCAGTACCGTCGGACCAGCCACCGCATTTCCCCTGATATCACGCAGACCTCATCCGTGCCACCGCACAGACAAAGGTCAGTAACAAGCGAAATTCGGGAGACCTGGCACAACTGTGACCATTTTTTGTGTCGCGTAAAACAAACTTTTGAGAGACACTTACCAGTCCTAAATTCTGTACGACCGTACACACCAGAGGTACTTGTGGGGTAACAAACAAAGGCAACGGTACCCCACATGTGCAATCTTTAGAAAAAAGGGTACCCCCACAAGTCTTTAGAAATAGGGATATCTGGACAGCAATGCTCCTACCCTGAACTCCCATCCGCTGGAACGTCCGTAGACCCGTATGATAAAGTTTTGAAAAAAATGTATAACTTCTACATGCTTTCATGGATTTTTGATAAAACTTGGATGCAGTGACCCTTGGGTGGGAAGACACAACTCTTCATCGGAGTACTGAACTGAGGTCAAAGGTCATGTAGGGGTCATTAGAGGTCATTCTTCAAATGTGCTTCGACTGTTTCTTTGTCTACTGAATTTGATGGATTTTGATGTAACTTGGGGCAAGTTCGCGCAAGGACTATAGTTAACCATTGGTCGACTAACGCTTGCCCGAACTCTGTCTAGTCGACGATGGTTAACTACGCTAGTCGACTATTTGGAACCAACCTACTGGGGCTGGTTGCATCGCTGGTAACCATAGCCGCGCACATTCGTAACATACAGCAGGGAGCCAGGATCCAGACGTTTTGCAATGACATTTTGACCAGCGTTCGACTAGAGACGTTCGCACTTTGCTATTAGTGTGCAAATCAACCACTAGTCGACTAATGGTCCTTGCCCGAACTTGGCCTTGGATGGAGTGATGCTTGGGTTGGGTTCATCACAAGTCGTCCAAAACTGGAGGTCATTTGAGGTCGTTAAAAAATTCATTTGTTTCGCTGTTTCAATATTTTATATTTTACACTCGCCCACAGTATGCCAAAGAAGCCCGTCGCCTACAACACCTCGCGGCCCAACTCCCAGGAGCGGACGCACTGCCTGACCAAGGTGCTACCCCAGCGCAGCTCCCCGCACCTCCCCACCCAGCCCATCATGCAGGACCCCAGCATGCCCGTCAATAAGCCCCCCGAGCCCCTCACCGTGCTGGAGGAGGTGCGGCGAAGGATAGACGTCTCCAGCAAACAGAGGCAGAGGTAATGTCTTGCAGGATAGTTTGGTTTTTTGTCCCAATGTCTGTTCACTCTGAAATGAGCACCACCACTTCAAAAGGCCTGAGCCTTGAATTCCCCCCAAAATAGCACTCGTAGTACATGACATCAAATTGTTACAACCCAAAAACTCTGAAAACTTGTTATACACACACATGCAATGTTTGATATTTGGTATACACATATGCTTTGTCTATATCTTGAAGAACGAACCAGCTAGCCACTTTTTGAGTGTTGAGGAAAAAGTCTCCATAGTTTCTACAGTTTCTCCGTAAGTGAATCTGCAGAAGACAATGTCTATAGTTGCATTATGATTCTCTGAAGATTCGTGTTGCTGGACTTGACCGGCTTTTGAATTTCCGTCCTTGCAGGCATTCTGATGGCGTCCGCAAGGAGAGGAGACCCACCAGCGGAAACCCTCCAACCCGTGTAACCTCAGCGCCTGCCAAGATGGCTCCAGTGGTCTCGCCAGATATGATGGAAGACCAAGGGTAGGTTGCAGGGCACATGCCAGTTGAACTTCACCCCCAGACCCCTACACCCCCTAAGAATCTTTACCCCATCCCCAAAGTACTCCCTTAAAACCTTTACCCCATCCCCAAAGTACCCCCTTCGAACTTTTACCCCATCCCCAAAGTTCCCCCTTAGAACCTTTACCCCATCCCCAAAGTACCCCCTTAGAACCTTTACCCCATCCCCAAAGTACCCCCTTAGAACCCATCCCCAAAGTACCCCCTTAGAACTTTTACCCCATCCCCAAAGTACCCCCTTAGAACCTTTACCCCATCCCCAAAGTACCCCCTTAGAACCTTTACCCCATCCCCAAAGTACCCCCCTTAGAACCTTTACCCAGTCTCCAAAGTACCCCCCTTAGAACCTTTACCCCATCCCCAAAGTACCCCCTTAGAACCTTTACCCCATCCCGAAAGTTCCCCCTTAGAACCTTTACCCCATCCCCAAAGATCCCCCTTAGAACCTTTCCCCCATCCCCAAAGTTCCCCCTTAGAACCTTTGCCCCATCCCCAAAGTTCCCCCTTAGAACCTTTCCCCATCCCCAAAGTTCCCCCTTAGAACCTTCCCCCCATCCCCAAAGTTTTACTGGTCTCGCCTTGTTTCTTATGATCAGTGTTTCTCGTGTCCGTTGTCATTAATATGATATTCACAAGTGGGCGATCCAGCCTTTTATAATATCCTTGACAGCGCTTTTAAGAGCTCATTAAGTAAACCCGACAATGTATTATTAAAATCCTATACATCGTGTAGTAATGGTCAAGAAGATTACAGACTAGGAGTTTTACGATCATTTCTCTGAATCATTAATTAGATATCATGGTTCATTGGCCGTGTCACGGACATTACACTTCCTTTCATAACTCTGGAATTACCCAAGTGGAAACTGCAAGGCTTTCAGTCAGACAACAGAGGCTCTCATGAAATACTGACTTATCTGATGACCAAACATATTGCTATTAATAAAGTGGGTCCATATTGCATACAGGTGGTACACAATCATTTTGTACTCCTTAATACGTGTTTCAAATTAAATACAATTTTCCTCAGACCAGCTGATTTCCTCTTTAATTCCCATTTCTGTCATTCACAAAAGAAAAACACCGTGCAAAGTCTTCTGATTTTGGGAATTTCCTCTCTTTTTTTCGTGAATGTACAGTTGCATTAATACGGTACACTATCGCAAGGAAAGTTTGAAGCTTTAAGTCTTGTAAGACACCCAATCCCTTTCATAAAGAAAAAAGGTTCCGAAAAGTTTTTAAAAAAAAGGCGTTGCGAGACCATAAGTGGCTAACGAGCGGATATTAAACTCGTTTTGTGCCTCGGTGTGTTGCTAATGCATGTGATGTTTGATGGATGCGAAATACACCAGAACAGGACAGGTTTGAAAGCGTGGCTTTTAAGTGTGTGGCTGGATAAGATTTCTCTATTGTTCGGGAAGGGAAATTAAAATCCAGGCTTTTGTTTGATACGAATGTAGCATGTGCATGCCCAAAGAGGTCAGTTGAAGTGGGTCAGCATACCGGTACATGTGTTTACTCCAAAGCATTCACGTCGTTTCTTTAAAGTCACTGTCTCTGTACAGGGTGGTCCTAAAAAAACGTTGCCACTTTTCCAGACGCAGATTTCTTGGAATTGAGGAGACATGTTAAAATTGTTTCAAGATATTCCTTAACTGCAGGATCTTGGTGGTATATGGTGAAAACGGCGCTGAAAATGAAGCCTAAATTAAGAAATGGCGATGGTTTAAAGAAAGATGGTCAAACACCAGTTTGTCCACATGTAAATCTATGAGATATGGTCAAACAATAGCACTGCACACACAAAGAACTGCAATGATTGTACTGAGGTCTACATGACTGCCATAGACGTGGACACTAAATGGCCACTATTTCTTAACTTGAGCTATGTTTTCAATGCCGTTTTTACCATATACGACCAGGACCTTGAAGTTCAGGAATATCTTAAAACAATTTCTGCATGTCTCTTCAATTTTGCGTGCTTATCTGTCATCCGTTCCGAACACCGCTGAAGCTTTGCCACTGTTTAAAAGGCTCAGTCACGGACATTACATGACCCTGGAATTGCCCATTTCAGCAACTATAATCTCCCAAAACACATATTGTTTTATAAATATCTTTAAACTGGTAATCTGTTTCTCTGATTACGTTCACAGGAGGAAAAGTGGGTCCAAGCAGCGCACCTTTGCCCCGCCGGACGGTAAGGAAACAATGACAACGACGGTAGCCTACTACTTCTGCAACGATCCCATCCCCTACAGGACGACACTACCGGGCGACAAGATCACGTTGGCCCAATTCAAGACTCTCATTTCCAAGAGGGGTGACTACAGGTAAGCCTTAAACGAATCAATGATGTCATTTTCGACAATGCAAACAAATTCCCATAAAATTATAGTGCATTTATATTCTATTTCCAATATTTTTAAACGCTTTTTCTACAGTGTTTTTTTTTATTTGAATGTCGAAGCAAGATTGTTTTTTTTTGTGGAGAAAATCCAACATTCAGTCTGGAGCTTTAAAAGATCCACGGCCTATCTATTTTTGTGTTGTGTGCAGGATGAAAATGGCTTAACAAAGCCTGGAAAAATTGGTGAAGTATTATAAATTATCAAAAAGTAATCAAAATCCTTTGCTTTGAATAAGAGCTTTTGAACAGAATTTAGATACAAGCTGTGTATCTCGAATATCAAAGTCTGTCATGTGTGTGACATGCCAGCTAAATTAAGTAATCATTGCAACTTGGCGTATAATGCGAGTTACGATCCTGCATTGTTCAGCTGCAGTATTATTTTAGCCCAGTGCTAGTAATTTGACGTCTGAGTCAGAAATCTGTCTTGCAGAATCATCCCTGTCATCCTGTTAAACTGCCATCCGAGCCCATGCATAGCTCGTGGCAGGAAAAAAAAAAGAAGCATCTATCCTGACTCCACTTACTTAATTCAGGTCTAAAAAGCCTCGCGCGCTGTCAGTTACGATTTGACACCTCGGCAGACCGGCGTGATCGGTATCACATTAGGCGCACGTCCCCTCCTCTTAAGGAAAATTCCCAGTTGTGGCCATTTTGATGTCCACTGGATTGAAGTTCATGACTTGGGATGTACAGGGAAGCCCTGGGGGTTATCCTCAGTAGACCTCATCATGCTTGACCGGACTGTCCTGTCCGTTCCCGGTGGACGTCTGCAGCCCGTCAGTGGTCACTCGCGGTGGACAGTTGAGAGGAGGATATCTCAGCATCATTTTGGAGTGTCAGATTAACGTCTCTCAGGATAATACGCATATTTGCAAGGCTTTTTTTCTCTGGTTATCATCTGATAAGACTGATGTACTGAAAAACTCTGAAGTTGAAGGTAATTGTCAAGGTTGTTGGCACTTCTGATGTTTCCGGTACCATATACTTGACAGTGCATACTGGTCCATTTGGTCTGATGTTGGAAAAATTACACTTCGTTGTCTGATTTGTTTTTTAAGTCTTGTCTAACTGAGCTGTGTGTCCTGGTTTATGGAACAACAACAGAAGCACAAAAGCAAGTCTATTTTTTTTTCTCTTTCATGAGAAATAATTCAAGTTGGCATTGATTTTAAATGCCCCTTTAAAGAAACAGAGGATGTGCTTTACACGTTAAATGGAACTTGACTGATGAGCCATCTATTTCTGTCCAGCTCTCCCCTGCACATGTAATTGCCCTGACTGGGCCAAGTGATTTTCACACCGTCCTAGCGTGTCGCAGCTAAGGAGAAATACTAGAGTATTTTGCTGCCCGACCCACGTGGGGGAACTGGAAGGTGTTCGGAGTGTGAAATTTGATATCTCCGTCTCATGCTGCAGTTACCTTGGCTTCCTAGTTCAGCTCGCACCCCTTCAGGGGCCTACCCTTCTTGTATCTGAAGTCAAATTATATCAGCGCCTTGTTGGCTAGAGAGAGATTCAGCTCAGTAGTGACTGCTGGTTCTCTATTCCAGGCCATTTTTTTTTGGGGGGGGGGGACTTTGATTTGGTTGGATTAACACTCTACTGTCCGGTGCTGGGCTTGGTGGTAGTCGATGCCCCGGGCAACTCTGTTGAGGTCAGGCTTGCTGGGGTGTTGCTTTTGTGGCCAAGATGTTATTTTGGGCTGATGAGAGATGAGATTAAGGCCTGATGGAATTCTGGGGCCTCTATATACAGATGGTACCCTGGTGTCGCTGGTAACCAAATAGGCTAGGTGCCGTGCCACATGTATATCTTCAGTTCCCGTTAAACATTTTTTTTAGGGGGGGAGGGTCGACTTGGTCCAAATCAATTTGTTTGCCATGTTCATTTTGGTGTTTTTCTTTTTAAGAAATTCCACAGAAAAAAAGAACAGAACTTCGAAAAGCCTTCATAATTTTGGGGTTTATTGGTATTCTTGTATTTGAAACAACGATGAATGCCTCGTAAAAGGAGTTTAGCCTTTCAGTTCACATTTACTTGCAATTTAATGCATGTCTCTTTCGTAAGTTGCAATCTGTTTATGATTTTTAAAAGCACTACAAAAAAAACTACATTGTTATCACCATTAAACTAATATGATCATTAATTTGAATCGTCTTATTTGACAGTGAAGTAGTAAATGCATACTGTGTTGTAGTACCGAAATCACTTCATTGTCCCGACCCTACTGTGATTATATTCCGTCATGCTTTAAGGTCAAGTTAAAAAAGCAATCACATCAAAAGGCAATTTTCCAAATGAACGTCACAGATTTTAATACCCTAATGTACACACTACTGACCGACGTTCTCATGTAGGCCTCTTTGATGCGGTGCTTTTAGAAAAAAAATAATAAGTCTTTGTTTTGAAGCAAGGTTAGAATCGCATAACCATCGACTTTAAAACCGTGGCAAATTCACAGGAGTGAAGATAATCTGTAATCAAAACACTCAAGGGAAAGCATTTTGGATTGGAATTGGCCGTGTATTGGGAGAGCCTTGGTTAAAAAAAAAAAAAAAAAAAATTCGCGAGACGGGAAGAGTTCCGTAAGCCGACCATTTGGAGAGATGTTTTCATTGTGTGATTACCTCCTTGGCCCGCCTCCTTCCGGAATTATCGCCGCCAGGATGCTTCAGCTGTCTCCAGGGAGTTTCTCAAGCGAAGCCTGCGGCCTGTGCTCCGTGCCTAGGCCTGGTGTTCTAGCATCTTGAAGTCTTGACTGAAATGCTCACTAAAAACTTGGAGAAAATAATCTCAATGTGCGCAAACAGGAAATGGCTTTAAAATTATAAAACAAAACATTGCAAGATTTATGATATTTTGCCTGCGTAATATTTTTGCTGTCTGCAGCTTCCACTTTCCACTTAGTATAAGTAAAAGAGATTTGCATGTAGGTAAAATGAGTGGGATTGGCTTTGATTTCTTGCCTGCCTTCCCCCCCCCCCCCCCTTTCCAAAATAAATTTCCCTCTTTAGTGAGATATTACCTTCCGAGGTAAAAAAAAATAAAGACCAGTGAGGAAAAAAAAACCAAGTAGATAATTATGTTGAAGTTGATAATTGTTATGTACAAAGTGTTTATAAAAACAATAATGGTTTTCTATTTTGTGCGTCTCTCAAAAAACAAACAAAAACCACGGCGTGGAAAAATAACGAGACATTATTTATGTGTTCTGGCTTCTCAACCGATGTCACAAATTGGGAAGACAAGCAGAGGAAGCGTTGTTGCCTTTGCCTGTTTTTCGCTACATTGACTGATCAGATTGATGGGGCGCCCTCAGGGGGTTTATTCTTGAAAAAAGCAGGGCATCCACTACGCTGTGTCGTGTCGTTACTCCGGGCCGCACTGGCTAAAGATGCAATCGTCTTGTTTTGCTTGCCACTTCAGATTCCCGATCGGAGGGATGTTAAGAATTAATCCGAGTTCTCCTGGGTATTTTAGACGGCAGATTGGATGGAGAAAAGGGAAAAAAATTGTCTGCTTTTTCAAGTTCCTGTTTGGCTTGTTGGGTCTGATGATGTACAGTATCTGTCCATTTTTGTCTGTGTTTTTTCCGGATAAATAAGAGATATACTTTTTGTTATTAACAAGGCTCTTTTTTTGCCGAAAATTTTGATTTTCGAAAAGGCAAGATATACACGTAGCAGCCAACTTTTGATACAGCCAAACGCCACAAATACTGATTCACAGGAGTCGTTTCAACAGTATTTTTACGGTATTTCTTTCCGCAACCTCATATTTTTCAACACTCTGGGGTGTACCCACGGAGCGTAACTTGTACCACAACAGGCTGTGCACAGTGACCAGGTTCATGTACATGTACAACACACAGTCCGCCTACACAGATTGTTTGGACTTCGTTTGTGTGTACAAAACAAATGGGGGATTAGTGTGTTTAGACGTCGTCCGGAGGCGTGTCGAGGCACACTTGACATTTTAAGGGAAGTTATACAATTGGAAAAAATTAAGAATGTTTCTCATCGAGAGTTCAAAATGGTTGCTACGGGTATAGTACTTTTGGCCGTCCACAGAAAGAAAGCCGTGCCTGTGTATAGAAACGGCCAGATCGCGATAACACACCGTCCAACGCGAAGCGGTTAACATCACATCGTGACAATTGTGTTACGAATTTCAAACCATTGCACACTTGATAAATATATAAATGAAGAATCCGGAAAGAAAAAAAAAACTATACACGTTCCTCAATCATCCTGTGAAAAAAACCACATTATTTACAATTCCCCCGAATTTGTTTTAAAGTACAGAATTTAAACACTCCGTGATGATTTTTTCAATATTCAAATAAGGGAAAGTACAGAAAGGGTTTAATTTCAGTTGCCTTTCAATCAGTGAGGAATAACGTGAGTTGAGTTATCCAATCAGCCGGGAACTTAGAGTAAACAGAATAAGTGGTCTCTATTCCCTTAAGTTCCTCAAAGGAGATTTAGGGATAACGTTAATATTCAGAACGCAGTGCGGTTTACTAGCATGCCTTATGCATCTGGGACTTGGGCCGCTTTTCAGAGAGAATATATGCTTTGGAAGGAGCTGTACCTTTAAAGCCGAGTAGTACAGCCCAGTACGTCAACTTCTTGTCGGCAATGCATGGAGAAGAGCTGAAGAAATTTTGCTATGACTATTTACATGATAGATGTTAGAATCGTTTCAGTTTTCTAGAGATTATCAACACGGCATGATGAAAAGTTGCAGAAAAAGAGTAAAAACTAGAGACTGATTCTGCGACAGCCATTCTCTGAGATAGCACCAGGCTTGGGCGAGTTGCGCTCATGTAGTACACACGCACTCCGTACGCCTTTGATCAATAGGGTTAACATAATGCGCACGCGCCTCGTCTTTAAGAATGCGCACGGCGCGTGCGCGCGGATGTGGCTTGACCTAAAAAATGGCTTCTAATGTTGTTTGCCGAATTAGTCTAGTCGCTGATAACTGGATCAGCTTCACCAAAACCATAATTTCCTTATTCTTGTGTGTTGTCCGTATGCAGCTCAGCCTCGTGCTTTTCTGTCAAATAGAGGATTTGCATATGATGCAGTGACTTCAGCGTAAATGCAGATGTAATTACCTTCAGTGCAAATAGTAAAAACAAACTTGAATTTTTAAAACCAATATGTGTCTATGCAGAGTTGGCCCCAGGTCACACCGCCCACTAGTCTCTTAGTACTTTCCTCATCTGTGGCTTTCGAAACAGAAACGCTAGGCTTTCTCTGAGCTGTTCCCTCCCCTGCTGGTGTCCTTTTGATGGCCGCCGCCGCCCCCCGGCGTGTCATCGGCAACACCAAAATTACCTATAATTGGTGCCGCCCAAGACTGGACAGAACCGCCTGAAACTGGAAACCGCTGCACTCTAATTGGCCGGTCGGCTTTGACATTCTGGAACACACACACACACACTCTTGATTTGAAATGTGTGTAGTGATGATGCACCCTGGGTTGGGGACCCATGTGGAGGGAACAGTGGTTGCCAAGGCGGCCATCTTTGATTGTCTTATTTTGCTACAAAAAAAGAATTTGCTGTGGCCCTTTTTTTAAGTCAGCGCCTTAGGAGCTACAGTTGCAATTGGCTGCTGCACCTGTCCAGGGACATCTTATTTCTTGTCCGTAATTTTTTTTTCTTCTCTCTAGCCTCGGGGCTACATCACAACTACATGTACCCGTAGAAGTTGTTGTGACTTATGTTAAAAAATTTTTTGCGGTTTTCCTCCAACTTTTTTTGTTGACCTTCTGGAATGCCACTAGGCAGGGGATATTTTCAGAAGAGAGATAGGGGTGCATACCTCAGTGTGTGTGTGTGCGTGTTGTGTTTATGCACATGTAAATATATATGTACATGTACATGAAGTTGAATACATTGTTAGGGATCAAATGTGTATTATTATATTTCAGTTATGCAAAGTATTTATTCCCCCCCCCCTCCCCCAAAAAGGGAGGGGTATAACAATAAGAGAAATTTGACAACCAGTCATGTAAATTTTGTGGTTTTTTACTGTTTTTTTTGCCGAACAGGTATACCTTTAAGACGCCCAGCGACGAATTTGACACGGGAGTTGTCCACGAGATCATCTCGGACGATTCAACAATTCTACCCATCTACCAGGGCAAAATCATCGGCAAAGTGGAGAAGATCGACTGAGTACGGTTGCCAGCACCCGACGATTTGCCCGAAAAAATTCCAAACAGAGCTACCCCAACCGTGCCAACAACCGCCTGACGTTGCAAAGTGAAAACTGTCGGCATTTTGTTTAACAAAATTAAACCAAAGGTGAAACCGTACTGTTTTTTTTTATGATCGTATGCAAACTCCTCCAAAAAAAAGTAGACTTGAAGCATTAACATGTGGCAGTTTCTGGTTTGAATGTGCCAGAGCTGGAATTTGTCTACGAAATTGCTGCAAAATATCTCAGCTACTTTTAACTACATGTACAGTACTTAAAATATTCAAATACATCTCTGTCATGCCAGTCGTGTCCAGCTCCTGTAATACAAGACATTGACACAGCATTTGTGATGCGATCAAGCTAAATGAGTCGTTGGTCAGGAATTTTTATTTGGAGATTCAGGCCAACATAGGGCCACTTCATCACATCACTTCATCACATCTCTTGGTGTTCCGACTTCCATAATCTTTGAACTAAAGATGGTATCAGCATGCGGTTTTCACAGCAGTAAGGCTGAGATTGTGCTCTTTTCAAATCTGTAATAAATAAAATGTTGACCAGGGTCGACAAACCACTCATGTAGCTTGATCACATCACATTTAATATTTTGTCATACCCCACAGACTAGGCTTAATTCTGCATCACTTTTGTTCTTAAAATGAACAGTAAACCATTTGTAATTTGTGCTTTTTTGTTTCGTTTGAACCCAACAAAAATGCTCAAAATCTGAAGGACGGTTAATAACTAACCCGATGACGTTTTAGCTTCGTGAATGCTGTACATTTCGAGGAAACAGAACAAACATAAACACAGATATTGTGGATCTCGATTTCAATTCCAAAGTTGCTGCGTCATATTGTGAATTGCGCCCTCTTGTGATGCATTCCCAAAACCAGCATTCGGGACATGATTCTCATTCAGCTGGTTGTCGCCCATTCATGGATTCGCCCAATTGCAAACCAACTACAAATTATAATGCCTGCGGGTGGCTTCACAGAAATTCCACAAATGTGTCACTTGACACATCTTTGGAAATGACCTTCTTTTGTTCTTTTCTCCAAAATGACAGCATGCCAGATAGAATGATTTCGCAGGGAGTTTAGTGTCATTACTATCTTTAAACAAGTAAGCTTTCCAACATGGATTTGGTAGGCTACTTTTTGGATAGCTGCAAAATACTCTGCCTTTAAACTTTTGCAAATCCCTTGCAGATAACTTATTATTTTCTCCACACCGGGTACACATTTACGTTTATATTTCTTGGCACAGAAACTCAAAATTTCAACAAATCGTTGAATATGTTGAAGAATTGAGCAAAGAGAATGAGCTTGTTGACCCTATACTGTGGTTTAAAAAAAAGATTATACTAAAGAAAAAAAAAGTTGGAATTGTGTCTACCTCAGATTTCTTAACCAGTAGAGTGACAGCTAAAAAACTGTTATCGTTAAAGACAGCATTGCGAAGAATTATGACCGTCTACTTAGTGATTAGAAGAGATTGTATAAAAATATTTATTTGTGTATTTTTAAAGGCCCCCCCCCCTCGTTATTAGGAGCATGTTTGTGGTCTATACTTCCAAATCATGTCCCATTGAGCTTTAAACCACACCCTCCTAAGCTGTTTTTATTACGAGCTTTGTCCCCCTGTAATTTATGCGTACTTATTAATAGTTAAACTTACAAAGCCTCTATACAAATTTAAAATCCGCGATGAGAGTAATTTAAACAATCAGGAGGCATTTTTCAGGCAGCCAGGACTTGTGGAAGTTTAGGCTGCTTGTTTGCCTACGTGTATATTTGATACAAAGTCTTATATTCAACTGCCAATTTGTACAGATAAACGACTAGACTTCCTTTTGAAAAGTCTGTTGTTGTTTTTTTATAGATATAACTTTAAAAAGAAACATTGTAAAGTATTATTAAGCTTGTTATGATGAACGTTTTGTTGGTTGTCGGGAGACGCAAGGTTGTCTGCTTGCAGTTGACGTGTTCAGATGTGCGGTGAGCGCGTTGAATGCCTGAGACTGCGAGCAACTGAAATGGCGCGTCTTGGCATATCCAGCCGGGCAGTGATCTGAAAGTTGACTCTGTACTCTTCCATGCTTCCCCGGTTATGTTTCGTTCCAAACCCTTATCTCATCTGTTCTGTAAAATCATAAAATGTGTTGTCTGGAAAAACGAACAGGCTCAACTTTGTGCGAAAATTGGCCAATTTCTACATGGAACAAATTTGGTCTGGTGTTTTTGTGGAGCAACTCTGTAATCTAAGCCCAGTGCATTCGGCTCGAATAAATTTGTCCAATTGGTAAATTTGATCAAATATACATAACACCCAAACAGGAAATTCAAATAACAAAAATTCACTTTCCAGTGCAGATTTCATGTCTTTATTAGCTTGGATGCCATTTCGGCCTAAACTCATTGAACACTGGACAATTCCTTCCATTTCCGCAAACTTGGACAAAATTGTTCAAAATGTCAATTTTTCTGGGGAATTAATGACAGAAATTACGCCATGGGTTTTCTTTTGATAAATATCACTTAGTGAGACTTACTGATGATAAAACCTAAAGAATAAAAAAATATGAATAATATATGTATATTCCAAATGGTGTAAAGTCTGAGAAGTACATCATATCCAACTCGGAAACCTGCTAACAGTGCGTACACATAAAGGTGTTCTTGATGTTGTGGGAAGTGAGCTGAAAAACTCCTACATCCAAAATTCAATTCATTGAGACATAATGACGTAATGGTTTTGTTTACATATGCACTTTCCGATGGAAGTGAAGTCGGGACGCCGGACAAAGTGAGGACCGTCTACTACATAGGAAAGCGCATATGTAAACAAAGCATGACATCATTATGTCTTGGGCCTATTGTGAGTGCTGGTACAATGCGTAATATTCATGCTGTCAACAATTCCATGTGGCATTGATCATTTTGAAAGACCGAAACCGCTTTTGAACAAAATTGGCTTGACTCGACAAACTGCTTTGAAAATCTCACCCGGTATTTTTTGCTGTGTTTAGTATTGGTGAAAAGCTCCAAAAACTGAATATTTCCAGAACAAAATCAAAACCCGAGTAAATGATTTGAGATTTAATGTGTTGAAAAACAGTACTGCCACGTTTCAACATCCGAGTGTATTTGATCTTAGCCTTAAGTCAAGGCCCACGCGGCTCCTGGACACGCACCCCGGATACTGGCACATGAAAGGGCTAGTCTTTCCACGTGCTGGCTCCGGGGAGCGCCACGTGACCGGGTAGCCACGTGGGCCTTGACTAAAGGCTAATTTGATCTGGTCTTGTACTTAACAAAGCTCTTCCTTTCAAAATTTACAATAAAAACATCAAGCATCAGTGGACAAAGATTCCTTCATCGACTTCCCTCAAAGTGTCAAAGCAGTTTTCACCTCTCCATGCTGAATATTGTGTCAGATTCAATTAAGTCTTTATACTTGTAGATATATACATAATTTCTTTACGTTGCTTTTATGAGCTTTTTTTTCCCCTGTGTTTTTACTGACATGTACTGCATGACATTTTGTCGTGTGACGTAAATTTGTTTTTGTTTTCTGCAAACTGTTGTATACATGAAAAATTAAAGAATATTATGTGCTATATTTTTAAGAAACAAAACGGTGACTGTGTGTGTTTTCTTTAGCCTGTCGGCCTCAGGAAGCCTGGTTAGTGATTTTTTTTGGCACTCGTTAGGATGTTTTTTGTAAACTTTGCGCACACAAGACAATTAGTTTTTTGCCTCTTTGGGAATTGCCCTGCGTAAACGGAGCACTGTGGTCCAATGGTTACGGTGTTCGACTCGCGTGCCATGGTACGTGGGTTTGAATCCTGTCGGGGAACATGGTGCTTGTGTAAACGGAGCACTGTGGTCCAATGGTTACGGTGTTCGACTCATGTGCCGTGGTACGTGGGTTCGAATCCTGTCGGGGAACATGGTGCTTGTGTGAACGGAGCACTGTGTTCCAATGGTTACGGTGTTCGACTCATGTGCCATGGTACGTGGGTTCGAATCCTGTCGGGGAACATGGTGCTTGTGTTCTAAGGCAAGACACTTTACTACAATTGTCTCCATATAGGAGTATAAAACCTTTTGGGGGACCAAAAAATGTTTTGCCCCCCCCCTCCCCCCCCCCCCCCAAAAAGAAATTGTGTTCTGGATCCGCCCCTGTGGGCATGGTTATCATTGGGACTATAGGCTGCTGTTTTAGAATAAGGATGAACATTGAATATGAACTATATAGATAAGACCCGAAAACGAAGTTGTATAATGCCCTCGCACTGCAAACGTCTATGATAATTATGTGAGCGGACTCGGTGATTATGCAAAACAAGACTGCGTCTTGACCTCCAAATTATGACCATTCAGCGGGCGCCTTTTATTGGGTCTTCGGTAACTCGTTGCTGAATTACAAAAATCATGGCGGCTAATTGACCAATCAACAGCTTAGGCTGAATTTCTGCTCGAAATCGAAATGACGGCACAATTTTTGAAGTCACCAGGGGGTGCAAAGAGGTTGCCCGCGTCCACCACCCGTACCCGGCAGTGACCAAACTGTTCTCAAATAATGCTGTAGCGGCGAGTTGTGAAATTTAATTTGGGTTTAAATCATAGTTGTTATTTCAAAGTGTTTTCTAAACTTTAATTTATGATCACGCATACCTTTGATTGGAAATAAGTTTGTTGCGGTAAAACTGTGCGTACGTTAATCGTTCCTGTACTTTCGTAATAGCGCCCTCTTGTGATATGGTGCATTTTGTAAGGTCAAAGTGTAAATTCTTCATGATTCCGATGATTCGTAAACAATGAACGTGTACCAAATTTATCTCCCCAAATAAATGTAAAATTATCAGGTTTTCTAAGTCCCAAATGTTGTAGTTTCGGATCCAACACAATCGGTAAGCCTTGTTGATTTATTCATGGTTATAATTTATCGTATTCTGAGTGATTTAGTAAGATTATTTGTAGCTTTTCAAAGTGAAGATTTATATGTTTTGGGGGTGTTTACTTACACGTACAGGGATAATGTACGCACTATGTCAAGTGAAGGCTCAAGCTCAATCGCATATATATTTGACTAATTAATCTAATGGTTTATTATGTTATTCTGTAATTGTTAATACTAAAGTTAAGTATTGTAATTTGTGTAATTACAGTGAACCACCACCACCACCACCTCCATAAGAACCAAATACAGCAGCAATAAAGTACATGCCTCAGGGTGCGTTCAGAAAGGGACCGAATAAAAACACTTGTGTAGCAAATGACGTTTGCAAGGCTACATAAAAGTTCACGATTTGGGACATAGTTCTACAACTCAATCATGGCTGAGGCAGATTCTGCAAATAATTTACCTGACAACGCTGATGCGGTTAGTGAAGCCGGGTCATCCATTTCAAGAGCTAGCTCGAGGGTTAGCACAAGTTCAGTTTCCAGACGGAAAGAAGC